AGTCTGAGTCAAGACCAAGACCTGGATACATAGAGTACGAGCCATGACCAAGACTTTGTAGTAGACGAGTCCGAGTCAAGAATTTAAAAATAAAAAGAAGAAAGAGAAAAAAATAAAATTCATATATATATATATATATATATATATATATATATATATAGTGTTGTATTTTATAATGCTTAGTAAAATAATATATAGTCAAAAATATCAGTGATTATTGTTAATATTATAGTCTTAGGCTAACTTTACATTGTAACCTTTGCAAGCAAATGATGCTCAGCTTATTTTCTGTTCTTTCTTCTCTAAGACTAATTTAGAATTATTTTTTTATTATTAAATGAAAACATAGTAATAATAATGTTTTGATCATAGAATTTTGGAACCAATAAACATCAACAGACAAATAATACCCAGTTACGCAGTCATGGAAAAGATCAGTTGGATCCTCAACTGGCAGCAAACAGATTTTATTTAAACGTGTAGGGAAATTAGTGTTTTATTCTGTTTGAAGGTCTTATTGATGAAAAACATTGTTTCCAGCTACTTCAGAACGAGACACTGCCCTTCGCTGATCTCGAGAACAATTTCCAAGTCGCCCTAAGATTGGGATCAAATGATGTCCAGACAGAGACAGCTAACTTACGGTCTCAAGACTAATCTTGAGACCAAGACTGGACTCAAGTGCAACAGTACACATGTAGGTCCACTGGCTTTGGATAGTAAACAAAATGGGTATATCTGTCTGGCTCAGGGGTCGCAACACAAATATTAAGAAGAACCATTTTGTTCTTTCAACAAAAATCAAACCACCCTGGGAGCCACAACACTTTATATCCATTTTAGCATCTTGGCTGTACGTATGTCTCAGTATGTGCTAATATACTAGTAAAAGCTAAAAACATCATTTAAACGAAAACGCAGGCTGACTTTACTGCTCTGCTTTAAGCTTTAGCTCAGCTGTAGCCACTTTTCTCGCATCTCCAGCAGGAAACTTTTCTTGTAAAATGTCTCTCAACGTTCGACTTTTTACGAGGCTGAAGTCGCTTCTCGTTCGCCAGCTTCTTGTTTGAATTTTCCTGTTCCACCTTAAATGTGTTTGACAGTTTCTTGTTGCAGTTCAAACATGTCAATAAACCAGCTGGAGTGATTATGAACACAAATATGTCCATGTGCCTCAGAATTATCAACGTTCATCTTAAATCTCTCTCTTTGCCGTTTTGTTAGCTACTAACTAGGCGAGACTGTTGTCTGAGATGCCAGCAGTCTGAGCGCTGATCTTCAAGGGTAAAGGCTGATGAATTAGCAGTTCTACATTAACTCCAGAGTTTAAGACCATTTATTGTTAAACTGTGTTGAACGATCAGCAGAGCTTTATTTTACTGTAAAGGAGGATTATTTTATTTCTACCTACAAATCTGATTCTGCTGTGGAGCCACAACAGGGCAGTAGAAGAGCCATATGACCCCTGGTTCCTATCACCACTGTAAAGTAAGGTAGGTTGGTATGTTTTTTCGGATGAGTGATGCTGAAATTTTGAAAAATCAGTACACTTCCCCCGATAATCCAGCAAGTAATTTTGGACCATTTCTCTATGTAACTACATACATCACGAAAATCTTCAAACACTGTAAAGAGCAGCTGGCGTTGTCAAATGATGTTTTGATATGACAGTGACGTTTTATCGCATTACCACATCTAACAGTTGCGTAACACTGTGTAGGATGTGCACTTTGCAGGTGAAATTCCATGTACTTTTGTTTATTATTCTCTTTTTTATTCGTACTGTATACAGTAAGCAGTGCCCGTGCTTTAAATGCCTCTCAACACGGCAGTCGCCACCCTGATCTCTGTCAGAAAACATTACATCAGAGCCAGAAAGTTTCCAATGATATGCTTGTGTTTGAAACTGGGGCAGTGGCCAAGTTGACTAATATCCTGAAAAGGCCAAAGTGCGGTTGTGGTATGCTGAAAGACGGCAAAGGGCCGACAGATAAGATCCTTCACAAATATTTATTACTGTCTACCCATGTGTTATAAATGCAGTTTGGACGCCACCTTTCGAAAGTCTGGGGTTTTTCAATAGGCTGATGAACAACCTGGAAAGAAGCTGATTTGTTCTTCATCAATTTCACTACATCTTTCAGATTTGATTCACTCTATGCGTTTGTTTCAGTTTATGTAAGTGTTGAGCTTGCAGAGCTTTTTGAACAGTTAAGCAGAAAGACGTGCTTGAAAAGGAACATTTGAAATTCCACACTGAATTCCAGGCATTGAGGCACTGAAGTAAGCAAACGCATGCAATCTTGGGCAGAGTCACCAGTTCGGGGAGATGATTCGGGCAGAATGTTCGGAACCATGGTGGAAGTTGACACACACACACACACACACACACACACACACACACACACACACACACACACACTTCTCACAATCTCTCATCCGAGGCTCTTGCAACACACTCCTTACACTTCATCAGCTGTTATGGTGCAACATGTGGCACCACTGACTGGGTTGCATCATAAATGTGTTTTCCTGCCATAAAAGATAAGAGTAAATAAAAGAACAAGTTCATCGGAAAACAACAGGACGAGGAAGATAATCGCATATGCAAGTGCTTTTGTTACACGTAAGATAAGAGAGGGTTTATAATTAGAATCTATTTCATTATTACAAAGTACTTTTAATGCTTCAGACATGTAAGATAGACATCCTGTTGTGCAAGCATTCCTTTAACTCTTTAACCCTTTGAAATCACAGGCTTGTTATTTCTTAAGGCTTTAAAAAAGGATTAACTGGGTTAATTTAAAATTTTTAGAATTTTTGGGTTTTACATTTGTTACCTTATCATTTTAAGTTTTGAATGAATCCTTAAGTCATTTCAGTGATGTATGTATTCCTATCCTTTACTTTCTTACGGCGCTCCTTATTGAATAATTAAAAATGCTTTTTAACCTGTTTAACCTGTTGACAGATACTTTACTGTACAGATTAGTGAGTGAAACTAAAACATAAACCACATTAATATGTTAATATGTTATCTATCCTGCTCTCACCGGGCAAGAGAAAGAAGGTAATATTGAAAGATAACTTGAGAAGTTCACTGCCAGCATTTTCCAACCTGGAAATTACCAAACAGCCTGTTGTGTAGTTAATTCCCTGTGAATCAGAGCCCCACCAGCCCTGTGCCGGTGTTTCACTATCATTTTTCTGGGTTCTGTGTAGTTTCTGTGGAATTTCAAAGGGCTAAAGGGAGGTAATGGTACTTTTTCAAAGCAGCAGCCTCCTGAAATTGGTGATTTTTTTTGTTTTTTTAATGGGAAAGGGATGAGTCAGATGTTGCTGACAGATTTTCTCTTTAATGGGAAGATAACGCCTAGTGATTCATGCCAGGCATGACTGGCATAAAATGCTTATTTAGCCTCTGACCTGAAAACCTGCATGTGTCAACATGTACACAGGGATAAGTGTACACTTGTCCCGCAGCCCACTTAAAAGAGTTCACATGACACAAATCAGCTGCTTTCAACAAACTGCTTTCACATCAAAACCTCATTTCCATGAAGTAGTAGCTCAACTTAATGAAGTATAAAGTGCTGTGCAAAAGTCAGAGACCCTTCATTTATTGGATTTTCTGTCAAAGTGGCAGTTAAATACTGGTTTTTCAGGGGATATTTTAAAATAACCCACTTGCATAAGGAAGGTGAATGAAAGGAGTTTCTAAAACTTGAGTTCAAGAAATTATTTAAAAATACAAACCAAAATTGTCACAACTGGATAAACAGTACTTTAAAAAGTTAGCTGGCGATAAGCTGTCACTGAGAAAAGCTGAGCTGTTGGCGTTCTCAGAACAACGGACTGTCGCCCCGGAGCACGATTAAATTTGTTATTGGGATTATTTGGGAAACGCAACCAACTTCCAAGACTGAACTTTGAAGGTGTGGTAAAATTTCCCTGTAGTTTTGTTTGAAAAACTTCAAACAAATCTCCTGAAATAAATGAAAGTTGTAATAAAGGCAAAGGGTGGAAACACTACATTGAAAAATTTGATACTATCAGGCTTCTGTGAAATTTTCTGTTTCTATTTCTTTTTTTTTATTTGAGTTATGTTTTGATATACCAGTAAAGCTTAAAATATTAAAACTATTTCAGTAAAATCCTTTCAATTTCAATCTTGCACACCTGGACACTTTATTTCAGTACCAATATACACCGATCAGGCACAACATTCTGACCACCTCCTTGTTTCTACGCTCATTGTCCATTTTATCAGCTCCACTTACTATATAGGTGCACTTTGTAGTTCTACAGTTACAGACTGTAGTCCATCTGTTTCACTGATACTTTGTTAGCCCCCTTTTACCCTGTTCTTCAGTGGTCAGGACCCCCATGGACCCTCACAGAGCAGGTACTATTTGAGTGGTGGATCATTCTCAGCACTGCAGTAACACTGACGTGGTGGTGGTGTGTTAGTGTGTGTTGTGCTGGTACAAGTGGATCAGACACAGCAGTGGTGCTGGAGTTTTTAAACACCTCAGTGTCACTGCTGGACTTAGAATAGTCCACCAACCAAAAATATCCAGCCAACAGCGTCCTGTGGGCAGTGTCCTGTGACCACTGATGAAGGACTAGAGGATGACATCTACAAGGTGGACTGACAAGGTGGGAGTGTCTAATAGAGTGGACAGTGAGTGGACACAGTGTTTAAAAACTCCAGCAGCAGCGCCTCCTTGTACTTTCATTATTGCACTGCTTTTTTATCTCAGATTATATATCTTATTGCATATTTTTGTATATTTATATTTGTATTTTTGCCTGTAGATAGATTCTATCTATCTATCTATCTATCTATCTTAGTTGCTGACATTTAATAACAAAAGATTAGCTGATCTCTACAAACAGCAGTTAAAGACTCATAAAAGGTGTATTTTTTTAATGTTTTATTATTAAAGTGTCAAAAAAAAACAAAAAAAAACACAAATAACCAAAATTAGTCATTAACATCACTTCAGGTTACACTTTAATATCATTTTAAAACCAAGCTTCATATGAACAGTACTTGTAAGTGCATGTGAACAGCTTGAAGTAGTGAAACACGGCTGAAAAAAAAAAAAAGTCTGACCACCAAAAGCTTAGCTTCAGATTGAAAATGGCAGACAGTAGTTCTGTATTCTGTTCCTTTTCAAAAGTACGACCCGAAACAAACAAACAAACAAACAAACAAACATAAAAAGCTGTTGACGCCTGCGTCTCTCATCCCACATGAATAAATACATTAAACTTTCTTCTAGTGCTCAGTAGTCTGCTTTGAAACCGTAAAAAAGCCAGATTCTCTTGGTTTTTTCTGCCATTCTGTTTGAAACTGAAATTCAGTGTGTTTCAGTTGGGAAATGCTCGCCACAGGCTTACACTACCCAGTTACCCACTTCAGGCCTACCGGGGGATTTCTGCACCACAGATTCTTGCAGAGCAACACTGAAATAGTTTGACAGGAGTGCTAAGACCGTATCTGAAAACATCTTAAGAGCTTTATACCATGAAATACCTTTAAAGGTAATGGGTTTGTGCATTTAGGTCAAACCACACGTCTACGTTATGTAAAAAAATACAGTATAACATTTCAAAACACATACACGACTTACTACGGACACAAAAAACTCCAAATACTTCTTGGACAGTAGGCATAGCCAGGCTATCGCACTCGCGGCATTGTAACAAAACATATTTGGACTTCTGAGATGATAAGAGGAACAAGCTGAGTGGTGGAAGTTCAAAAGAAGAAACCTGCTTCTACGTAACTCGCTCTTTGCTCTAATCCTCAATTAGCCAGCAGTGGCTGCTAACACAAAGTCCACTTTAGCTCTGTTTCCTCGTTCCCTTTTTCTGCCCGTGTATCCTGCAATACATTGTGCATGTCCTGAGAGATTAGTGTAGCAGCTTTGAGTACTTTCATGTGGCAGATTATAGTGACAATTAATGTAGCAGAAGCCACACATGACTATGGAACTACGTCGATAACTTCATACTTCATTCACTTCAAATTATCTCGTTCTACATCAATGAACTGGAGCATGATCTTCCACCACATCCCTCACAAAACACAGTGAGTTCAGTTCGGTTGCGCTTCACTGGACTAGCGGTCCTTTTTTGCAGGGATACCACCGGGATTACAGATGCTATAAGAGTCGGTTTACATCAATGAAATCACGCCGCTACGCCAGCCAACGTGATACCATGCTTTGGTGCACGTACAGAGGTTCCGTCATTCAACAGTGTACAGTTTTAAATAGCATACAAAGTAAAAACACATCGAATGTCCTTCAACGTTAGTGCTTTAACAAGAGTTCCATCGTGAGCATGTGGGACGCGCCCACCTGCTCCCTAGTCCTTAGTCCCTTACAGCAGGCTCCGGATCGGATCCTACGATATTCCTTGGCAGAAACTTGCTGAAACTTTATCACAGGAGCGGGACGCTTCTGCAGTCCGTGCCTCAGAGATGGCTGCAGGAGGTCGGCACGGCGGAGGGGTGTGCTGGTCCGACGGTCAGGTTCAGACCTTGCAGGGTGGTCTCCTTGATCTGCTGGATGAAGAGTTTCCTCTCGTCCTCTGGCGTCTGGCCGTTCTGGGCACGTACGATGCAGGTGGGCCGGTGGAGGTTGAGCATGTAGACCAGCTGCTGCTTCTGGTTCTTCAGCTCCTCGATCTGTGCTTTCAGCTCAGCGTTTATGGACTCCAGCTTCTCGGACTCCTGCAGAGTCGACAGGAAGAAAAACAATTTTATTAAAGTCTATTTATAAATATTACACTGAAAATGCATCGAATTCACTTGACTTAAATATGTGCTTCATTTCCATATGAACAAACTACATGACAACCACACAATTTTGGCTTTCAGTTAACTTTATAAATGTCTAATAATTAGATTAAGTACACAATTAATTAGTGAACCTCTTAAAAACTCAGGTTTTTTTTGTCCAATTTTCTCCCCAATTAATTTATCACCAATTCACACCTGTTCAAAAACTCAGTTACTAATCTCAATGCGGATTATTTTATATCTACTGTAAGACTAATATGTAACTACATGGTTATAAGAATGGAAATGTGGCTTTAAGAGTTTAATCAGTTGATCAAAACTCTTTTCCCCTTTTTTATATCTTTGTCTTTTCTCTTAAAACACGTTCCTGACCGACTCCTACCTTTTGCAAACAGTCTGTTTTCTCCTTCTTCTTGTTTCTACATTTGGCAGCAGCAATTTTGTTTCTTTCACGCCTTCTTTTCCTCCGATCAAGCTCTTCAGAGCTAAGCTAAAGGGGAAAAAATGTATTGGTTAAAAAGGTCAACATAGATTTTCTTCCATAAATTAAGATTTCACAAGATTTTGCTTTTAAAAGTTGAAGCAAAAAAGTAAACAGGCTATTTATAAAGTCCTGAACCCAAAAAAAGGAGAGTGAAAGAGTAGGAAAAGTTCAGGCAGCACTAGTTTAATTCACAACCTATCAATTCAGATCACAGATTAAACTAAATTAAGCAGTGCGAACGTTTTCTGCTCTTTAAAGTTGTCCCTATAACTTGTCTTACCCCACAAACTGGCCTTAACCACTCACAACACCCTAATCGATTCCTCGGAGAACATATCCGAGTCAAAGTAGCTGAATAACTCAGAGGAGGGCACAAACGGAGGAGGAGTGAAAGTGGCTGAGGTTACCTCTCTCTTGGCGGGCGGCTCGCTGGGAGGAGCCGAGCACGAGCTGCTGGAGCTCGGCGCGGCGCTCATGCCGCTGGAAAGCCGCTTGGTGTGGATGGCGTAGCGCAGCTCCTCCTTGACGAGCGGGCTGAAAGTGGCGAAGTCGTCCAGCGTGAGGGAGCCCGGCGGGGACAGACAGGGCACCAGAGCGGACGCGCTGATTTCTGAAGGACCCAGACCCAGCCCAGGGTGCTGAAGCATCATTCTGAAACCTACAGACAGCGACAGGTTTCTCGATTAACACCGGCGGGGAATTTACACGTTCCCAAAAAACACCTAAATAAATAATACATATAAAAAAACGGTACGCTAGATAAGCAGGTAGCCTTCACGAGGAAGATATAAACTGACGTATGGAAAATACCATAAAAGTGCTAATTTTAACTGATTATTCTTTATTATTTAGCCTGTTTGGTTCAGGCTAGTTAGTGTCGGTCACACTGTCCACGCGTTAATCCGGTCCAGGCGGCGAGCCCCGGTTTACCTTCTCCGCGCGGCGACTTCGGTGCGTTTTAGACACATTTTCGCTGGACTACCTGAATGAAAGTCCTCTCTAAAGTCCTCACAGTTACAATGTAACCGGCCAACACAGAGAAAAACGCGCGCCTTTAACTTAGACGGGAAAGCGCGGTTAGACGGGAAAGCGCGCCGGAGCGCCACAATACCCACAAACTTCACGTCCACATTCAGTTTAGCCGCCTGGGTGAGAGAGCTGAGCTGAACCCCCCCCTCCCACCCCCTCACACCGGAGCGCGGTTACTCACCTTGGTCTGAGCGAGCGTTTGACCTGAACTCAGCCCTCGACTTCTTCTATACTCCGCGCGGCGGCTCCTCGCGCTCAGCTGGGAAAGTTACAGCTCTCGCCGGTGCGTTGCATCACCCCTGTTTTATAGTAAGACTCGCCGAGGCATCTTACTAGTAAAAGGGGGCCGGGCCTGGGTGACGTCATCCTATTTATAGCCCTGAGAGCGGCTTTGCTCTGCGATGATGCAATCAGGCAAACCCTCTGCACACACACCATAAGTGGACAGACGGGCTCAGCCCCTAACCCCCCCCAAAACCCTTCACTGCGAGGGAATGTAAGTCGTAACATTTCACACTAATGAGCAAATAAAGGCATGCCAGTCTAATGACTTGGGATTTTAGGTATGCCCTCTTGAATCGTTACCAAAAACAGCAGGACTTCAGCTCAGCTCAGCTCAGCCTCCCACCACAGCTAGCCTCGCTCCGTTAACCCCATAAAGCCGTTTGAGATGAGCCCATGAAGCAGTGCCATATTCATATAGACCGCTGACTGACCAGACACTGAAAATGAGCCACAAATATAAGCAGGGATCTGAGGACGGAGAGAGTTTCTCGAGGTAATAGCTGTATTTCTGTGGATCTATTTTTGCTGGCGGAGGTGTAGAAATGACATGGAGATCTGTTACTTAAAGAGATGTTTTAACTGTTTCTCAAAACGTCTGTATAATTAAGGCGTTAATGTGTAAACAAAGCGGTTCAGAGCGGTTTGGCGAGAAGTGCAACGTTTTAGAGAAACTTACCAAGTTAGAATGGTTCACAATGGGGCTGATAGGAACCAGACGTCTGAAGAGGTTAATACCTCTAAAGTCTACCTCATAGAAGTTATTACACAAAATTGTTTGTAATACGCTTCCATTATGCCTGAGACATTGTTTTACGATGACTTTGAGATCAGGTTTCAGTCTAAAACCTAGATTTTAAAGACAAATTCGTGGCGTAGAGATACATGTAGGGTGTTGTGAGGCTAAATAGTCCCAAAGAAAGCTATTTTTTTAGATATACCACTGTTTTACCGTTATTAGCATTACATATAAAAGTCAGAAGACACATGTAGGTTCACTGGTGGTTTTGGATGGTAAATAAAATGGTTATATTTGTGCTGTAGACATTGTGAAATCTGGTTTCTATAAATAAAAAAATATATAATAAAAAAGATCTTAATATTTTTGTAGTTTCTCCCAAGACAAAGCTGCTCAGATCTCAATAAAATCAAACATCGTGCTCAGATTTGCCAGAATAATAACACTCATCTTTATCTGCTACTAAACACAGGCGCTAAACCATTCCTCATCCGAGACTTAGAACTGCCCTAATTTTGATGCCTCTTAGTTTGGATAACTTTTATAACTCTGATCTTAGCCAGAAGTATCTCATGTCTGCTTTCTGCCTAATGCTGTTTCTCTTAAGGAATTTTAGGTGAATCACCCGCACATCTCCAGAGCCATAAACATCACATTTGACATTTGAGCTATAAAATTTTCCTCCAGGCTGAGTCAGTAAATTTATCTACAATGCACCATTTCTCAACTAACCAACCTGAATGATTCTGTTTACGTCTCAACGATCTAATAATGCAAAAATTTTGAAAAATTGGTGGAATTCCCCTTTAATGAGCCACAGTTTTTAAAGCTCAGCAGTACTGTACTGTTACTGTGCTGTAAACTCTTAGGCACCTAAGCAGACTGTTTAAATCTTTTTATCTAGGCAATATGTATATATATATATATATATAGCTGTTGTCAGAAGAAAACCTCGTATCTCCAAAATGGTAACTTTACAGGAGAAGGAAAAAACACACTCTACTTTTAATGTAAGTCAATGGAACCAGAATTTTTTCGAAGTAATTTTGGGCCACTTCTTTTGGTCCATTCATCATGAAATTTACACATAATGTAAAGAGCAACAGGCATTTTCAAATTATGACATAAACTGAAAATAAACTGGAGACACAAGGTTTTCTTCGACAGCAGCGATATGTGTCTGTTATAATATATAAGTGCCTGTGCTTGTGAAAACACAATATAACATTAGAATAAATTCAATAATTGCAACATTAATACAGTAAAAGAATTTCTTATTTTCAAAAAATGTAGTCAATATTTTGTGAGCAAGTTTGAGAAACAAAGTTCTCAGTCATCGCATGGATTTGTTATCTTCCATCAGCAGCTCACTGATTCAATATAGCACTGATAAGCCAAACCAGGTATTGGATGATAATCACAAATAAGACTGGGCTGCTGCAAGGAGAGGTTTGGAAATGGTTTAATGTAAACATGAACATGCATACAGTCATGATTGTATTATTGCTATTTGTGTTTATTCTAATATTAGTCCTTTTCTCTGTAAATATGAACCTACTACCCAGTTAAATAGCTTTAAAAATATAATTTTCTCAACTGTGTAAAACGTCTTCCCAGTACTGTACAGATCATTCTACTGAACTGGTTCAAAGTCAGAGTTCAAAACACATTTCAGACATTTAACTGACTTGGACTGCGAACTAAAATCCCAAAACATATGACTCAATACCTTAATTATGTTTACTTTATTAAAATAAATGACTGAACGTTCCATTTTGTCACTAACAAAACAATCATAACACTATCAAAACTTTATCAAATGCTTCAGTAGTGACTGTTTCAGTAGTGACAATTTTAGTTAATTTTGAGTATAACTCAAAAATGATGGCCAGTATGTAAAAACGTGTGAACGTACAGCTGAACACATTAAACCAGAATATTTTTTATTAAAACACAAAAAAAGTTTTCTTAATTGAAAGAAATGTGTGTTTCTGCAGTGACAATCCTTGATGTTACACAAGTGAGGGAGGCAGACTCACTTTCTGCTCTAAAATGCAGGGATGCGGCTAAAATAAGGCTCCGCCTATGGAATGAAACAGCATTTTTGAAATTGAACTCATGATAAATCTAAACCTTTCATCATCATTTTAAATCAAATCAAAAAAAAGTCTTTAAATAAACAATAACAAATATTTTCACATGTTAAAATTTAGGATTAGGGCTAAATATATACAGGATCATCACTGCGAGGTGTCTGTCCTAAACTGTACAGACACCTCACAATGATGATCCTGTATATATTTAGCTTATTACTATCTCAATTAATACCTTGTGTTAAAATAGATTATAACATAATTCTTAATATCTAAGTAATAAATATCTAAGATCTGAACACTTACCAGTTTAATGTTGGCCCACTGTTTGAACTAATTCCATATATACAGCAGGGACCAGAAAAGTCGGCCCGGTTGAATGACAGGTGCCTGAACCACAGTGAGGTTCACAGATATACATTATTAGAACAGCTACACACTTCATAGAGGATCTGATCAGATCTAATCAAAGGAAAATAGAAATACCTTGAAAACCTCGATCTCTAAAGGTTTCTTTAAAGTCAGAGCAGAGAGCTCAGGCGTGATCTGCGTGTGTTCCCTCTGATATGTTAAGGATGGACTAATCTGAGAAGGATGTTTTAGGGAGTGGAGGCTGGCACATTCTGCATTCCTCCGCTAACTGTGAAGTGAGGGTTTCTTGCTGTGTGGTGTCACTCCCTGCCCCGGTACATGCTCTTAACTCTGGGTTCTGGAAGTTTCCTGCCCTCTCCCTCCACCAACAGCACTATAGAGATACAGCCTTTGTGAACACACACACACACACACACACACACACACACACACGCAGACACAGTGTTACCAGGGAACAATACAATAGCAATCAAAACAGGACATTGTTGATTTTCCATGTCTTGTTGGCTGCCAGGATTGGAACGGTTACCTCAGAGGCCTTTATGATGTCATAAAGAATGTTAATATTATAACTGATGGTTTCCCTAATTATTTTTTGTGCTTGATTGATTGGTAAAGGAACTTTTAGGACAGTGATGCCGTTTTCCCTCAGTGACCCAGAAGGAATTAGATAACGCCTGTGTTGTT